ATCAGGATCCCGGACTATAGATCCGGGATATGGTCCTAGTCCTGGTCATAAAACGTTACACATAATGCGTATTTATACATTCTGGTCGAATAGGAAACAGCATCGAATTCTGTGATATTGAAAGTTAAGACGATCAAATAGGAAGCAACCTTTGAAGTGACATTGATAGTCAGGACAACGAATAAGAAACAGCATTGGAGTACGTGACATTGATATCTAGGATGATCATAAAATTGACCAGTCGGAATTAACCAATAGGAATTGACCAATAATAATTCTCTTAGGATATTTGATGAATATCCTAACAAATGAATTGTTGAATAAACAGCTTCTTGGTTATATTGTGCATTTCCTAAGCTGTCTATATGATTTTGATTGATAGTTTTGTAAATTAATTCAAATAATTGATTTTATTATTATTATTATTATGGCTAAATTACTTTAAATTTGTATAATTTCAGAGGTTAAAACTAAAAAACAGACCTTTTTTCTTTATCGATTTTTTCTGAAAACTGTGTTTAGTTTCATTTTGATATTCATTCTCATTCGAAGTCTGGACTTGTTTTTTTTTTTCTCCACCAGTTTTTTTTTTTATCTCGAATCTATTACACACACACATACACACACACACACCACGCACACACCAACACACACCACACACTAAAGGATGTACAATGAATAGAAATGATCGTTAATCAATAATGCGTGTGTATGTGTCTGTCTGTGTGTGTGTGACAGAAATTATACAAATATTATTGGTTGACTAGTATTCAGTCATATTCAAACCAAAGCGATGGAATTTAACAGGTAATTGATCATTGATCGATAAGATTTGTATCGATTAGTATCACTCGAAAGTGGTATCGATCAAAAAAATTCACCTCACACTAATCTGAGAGTAAAATGAAGTTAAGGGGCTGATCAAGTCACCTGAAAGTTCACTTTTAACTAGCACATATACTGCTTATGCTACTTATACGAACGATATAAGTAGTAGTATAAGAAGGGACGTGAAAGAAGAAGAAGTCTCACGGAAAACGGAAAGCAAATGGAGCAAAAGCAAGAAATAAATAGAGTATTAACAGGAAGGAAGGAAAGGAAGCAACAACACGAATGGAAGAAGGATGGAGAGTTGGAAGTCACGACTCAAGAAGATGGTGTACAAATAGACTGTGTTTAATGTAATTTTGTCGTTTTTAATTGACTAAGAGTGTGAATTTGCATAATACAATCTTTAACGCCTGCCTCAGTCTTCTCACTAGAATAAAAAGAGATATTTAACCGATTCATAGTATCGTAATCAAGATTAATCTTTTTTACACATTTGAAATCATTAATCAATCATCATTGTTAGACCACCATTAGAAACCTGGAAGCACTGGACGGCCGTTTCGTCCTAGTATGGGACTCCTCAGCAGTGCGCATCCACGACTCCTGCTCCTTGTAGGATTCGAGCCCGGGACCTTTGGCATTGTAGGCGAACGCCTTACCATCGGACCACTGGGCCAGCATCCAACAGTGTTAATGTCTAACTCTGAACACCAAGATTAATCTGTCATGAATGATAGATAACTTCAGATTAACTGAGAAAATAATTCAATAAACTTTGATTGTTTTTATATCACAAGATAACAGCAGTGATAATGTAGTACATTTAATTTTAAAAAATAAAACTTAGAATAATGGTGAATGGGTTGTTTTTGTTTTTTTTAAGCTAATGCGCTCGCTACATCTCAACAGTTACACACACCGATTGGTTCATTTATCACACTTTATGACTTGAAAAAAAAAATTTTTTTTCGGCGTTTGCAGTCAAATTACATTAAATTATCTAGTTTTAACTAAAATCAAAAGATGAATATTTGCTGTGACTATTGTGGTGCGAGCTACTTATAAGTAGTAGTGTATGACGTGAGTGTCAGTCAACGTAATGTCTGGCAGCAGAAGATGGGGGGGAAGATCAAGAAAGGAAGAGTTAGAACACACAATCGAATTTGTGTATGAAACGCATGAACTGTGAGTGACAATGGATTGATGTTGTTTGCAACAGGAACAGCAGTCCAGTTCGATATGATGATGAACTGATATTTTTTTCAAATGAACAATTTACAATATGGTTTTCCAATTTTACTGACTGAGTAACTCTGTAATTTCCGTTATATACAATTCGGTTGCTCTCACCACCTGTGTTCTCCTTCACTACACTATTATTATTATTATTATTATTATGATTACTATTTATAGGTTGGAGCTATTCTCTATCCTAAAACATCATGGATGCCAATTTGGGATCAACAAGCTAATCAAAGTAGATCAGCAGCTGCAAATTTATTCTGTTATCATATGTTAGGCAATTTCATTGTAATCCTATTGATTATGACAATATTATTTAGGCATTATACAAAAATTGGTTTGATCAATAATGTTGATGAAAAAACATTGAGAATCACTTTATCCCGTAGTAAATATCATGAACATCAATTAAAACAACCATTACAAAATTCACAATCATTATTAGAAAAACAACAACAAACTTTCATCATTGACAATCATTCCGAACAAATAGAATTATGCAATTCAAATTATTCAAATACCATAGAGACTAATGAAATTGACCAAAATGAACAAGATCAATGAATTTAATCAATAAAAAACCGGAAAACAGAAAAAAAAGGTAGTTCATGTATTTGTCAATGTTGACAAGTTATATCGGGATGAGAGTTAATAAAAAAAATGAACAGTTTGGAATTGCGTTTTTTTTTTTGATTACATAAACATTATTGAGTGATATTTTATGATTTTAAAAAAACTTTATTCACCTTTCGACCTTTATTTAAACATGTGAATAATCCCCTTTTTTTATCATAAGGTTTCAATGTCTAGAAGGTGAGAAAATTATTTCATTGATGAACTGTATGAATTTTTAAGCACTACATTTAGTATGTAGTAATAATAATCTTTGTAATTAAAATATTCAGATGAATAAATTAATTCATTAGAAATATCATCTATTCTTTGTATAATCAGTAATCATCTCATCGATTGTAATACATACAATGTGATCCTAGATGAGAATCATGAAGTAGTTTGGAACTTACTGAATTTAAAATGCATACATGAGTAATAGTGTCTGTTAGGATATTCATGCAATATCTTAAGAGAATTATTATTGGTCAATTCCTATTGGTTAGTTCTTACTGGTTAATTTTATGGTCGTCCTAGATATCAATGTCATGTGATCAAATGTTGTTTCTTATTGGTTGTCCTGACTATCAATGTCACTTCAAATAGGGCTTTCTATTGATCGTCTTAACTGTCAATATCACAGAATTCAATGTTGTTTCCTATTCGACCAAAATGTATAAATACACATTATGTGAAACGTTTTATGACCAGGACTAGGACCATGTCCCGGATCTGTAGTGCGGGATCCTGATTCTCTTCCGGACTCGGACCTCATACTTTCTGAATGCTTGTAGAATAGATGTTCTACTTCATATCAACTCTTCTTATTTTTACTCAAAATGGGAGTTAGGATAATCGGATTAGAGTAGCATGTCGTGTCGCCGGATCCTCGATCCTCACTCTCGTTTTCCAACTATGTAAACTCGTAATACTTCAAGCATATAAAAATGATGTGTTTACGTACAGACGTAACAGTGTACAGTAAAAATAGAATAACTTAAACAAATGGAATAGTTCATTTGCAAAGAGTAAATTGGTGATATTCACCAAAAACCAATTAAAAACAAAGTAATTGTTTGCTCATTGTTCACCCATTGTATACATCTGATTATTTTTTAAACTGAGTAAATTTCACGAGACATTTATACTTTGAACAAACATTGACACTTCATCATCGAATTCAACAATCATTGAATCAACAATGTTGATTAATTTAAGTTGAGTGATTAGGCTTCATGTAGTTAGTATTGATTACATGTAAGTATGTTGTATTAGTAATCAAATGGAGGTGTGCAAATTTTAATTTATGAATTCGATATGTTAGATTTTCTAATGAAGTTGTAAGAGGAATGCTTGACTGAATTTTATCTTATCATGTATGAGTTTGTAAAGTACTCGCGAGAGATTAAAATCAAAACCGATTGATTATTTTCAGTAGTTACAGTTAGTGATCAGTGTTCTAGTGAAAATTATCTTGAAACATAATGTTTCACATTAAAAGAATAATTGAGTTCACATCCATTTCACATGATTACCTTATTTCCATAAAAAATCTCATCATCATCATCATCATCACAGTAGATCAATAAGTGAAAATCAATATCGATTCGATTTCATCTTGAAATGAGGACACAGAATCTACACAGTAATGTTATACTGGTTACTGTATAACAATGTTTCATGTGTTCAATGCAATTCAGAAACACTGCACATTGTTATTGATCAGCCAGTGCTTAATGAATTATGAATGATTATTCGAAGAGTAGATGGATAAATCAGTCAATCTTTATGCTTGATTAAGTCAATGTGATGAAGAATATTCAGTGATCATTGTGTTGTTTTCCAGTGATGCATCTTTATTCATGACCATTCTTAAATGTACTCCTGCATCCAATGTGTTTTACTGATGTAAAATTCAATTTTTCATTAGGTCTGATTGTTGTGTTTAGTTTATATGTTGTTTATCAAACGATTGTTAATTGCAACAATCATTCAGTGAATGGACAAAAGATATTGACGATGACGGGAAACGTTGGTTTGCACCAATAATCTAACCAATCAATCAATCAATCAATCAAATTAGTGAACGGTATGAGATGTTATAGGAATGAAGAAATAATAGATCATTGTTATTTGTTTTAATGTTAGCTATGATGAACATGTAGTAATTGTAGTTCTATGAATAGGACGCGATTGGCTTAATATAAAGATTCATTATTATAACTCATTGTACCAGTGATCGTTTTACGTTTCTCGTTGGTTTAACTGTACCCAAAACAGACATCGTCCTTCCTTGATTGACCTTCTGCTTGCTCATGTACGCTTGGTCGTCTCGCCTTTACATTTCGAATGAATCATCGCATTAATTGTATACCACAATATCTCCAACGAATAAACTTCAACTTTAATGGCAGCTGGTATTTTGGTCTCTGCCTCTGACGAGATTCGACGAGTTTATTGGCGTAATATAGCTTCAGTTCTCTATATCAGATGAGCGACGAATGGTCGCGCATCAGCGGCTTCTAAATCTGTCAAAACCAAGCCCATTGAGGCGAGTCTGTTATTTATCGATCCACGAATGATAACTTTTTCCGTTGTTGCTCATACCATATAGATATTTTTTAATATATATATATTGGAAGCTAAACTGGAGATCTTCCGCATTACGAGCAAGCAGAAGAAATATGCCTATGCTCTGGACTCTTTACCTGGGGACGACACAGCTGCTCTCCATGAGGTCATCCTCAATTCTTACGTATCACATATCTACGATCGTCTGAAGGAGGAGATTTTCACACATTTCCTCCCATCGATGTTGGAATGACCGAGGACTTTATAAGCAGGTCACCCCCTGGGTGATGCTAAGCTAAGCCACCATCTCATACGCCTGAATTCTTTGGCAGGACCTACGACAGCTGACTCTGAGATAGTGAAAGAATTATGGTTTGAATCCTCATCAGCTCATATTCAGTCTGCAATCACAGCTGCACTAGAGGATAAACCGCTTATCCAGGTTGCCCTCACAGCAGACAAAATTTTAGCGAGGACTAGCACGTGAGACAGCTACATGGTTGCTTCAACCGTCATGTACGGAAGTGGACCTCAGCGCTAGTTGCTCTCCAGCTCAAGGAGATCGGGGTTGTTGCATTCATAGCCGCCTCAGGTTTGGAGATCGTTCTCTTGTACCAGAAGCTCACGTCCTTCGAGCTAGATCACGATCATGCAAGGCTGTATGTACTCGTCCCAAGCAGGCATCTTTCAAGCCACCCCAAAAGGCGGCTTCGAGTTTATGTTGGTTACACCGTACCTTCAGACCCAGTGCCCGCCACTGTCGAGCCCCCTGCTGATACAAGGCTGGAAACTCCTGTGCCGATGAGTTAATGTGGCCAAACTTGCCGGCCCCTCACCTCGGGTCAACCGCTTATTTTAAGTGCACAATTTCCGCACTAACGCTAGGTACCTAATAGCCACATGTGCCCAAGTTTCTGTCGTACCAGTTTATAACATACAGTCTTCAGCTACGATGCCTGGACTGCGCGCTGCTAATCGCTCTGTTATTCCTACCTATGGTACACAACAATTAAGGGTGAACTTGAACAACCGATGACATTATCCGCGGACGTTTATCACTGTCGATTTTCCCACAGCCTTACTTGGCATCGATTTCCTATAGCACTATGAATTGCTAGTCGATTCATGTAGGCTTCAGACAATCGACATTTTGTCGAACAACTAATTCATGAGCTTTCGAGATCAAACAAACGCTTACAGTATAACAAGTGTATTTCATCCACGTGACGATGAATTCCAAGCTCTACTAGAACAATTCCTATATCCTACCACACCATTCGAGGAGATTCAATCGGTGACGAATCGTGTGGTACATCACATCGTCATCCTTGGACCACCAGTCTCGGCAAAAACTCACCAACTGGTACCGGACAATAATAGTGTGAACTGGGCAAGCCAGAAATAAAATTCTTGGGTCAAATCATTAAGCAGGAGGATATTTTACCTTGTGAAAACAAAGTATGTGCAATCATGGAGTACACTGTACCTTTCTCACTTGAGTAACTGAAGGCGTTTCTCAATTCGGTTAAATTTTCATTCCTCACGCGGCAGATTAGTAACAACCATAACCGACTTCGCGGTAATCCATGTACATTAGAATTGAACGATGCCACGCGTACTGAATTTTCAGAGATCAAAAAATCTTTAGCTCAAGCCATGCTCCTCGCTCATCATGACCCATCAGCCACGCTTGGTATAGCGGCTGCCGTGTCAACGTAGCGGTCGGGCTTGCCCATCGTGATGACCCAGTTGGGCTATATTGGCTGGGACATATGTTCCAGCAGGTTATACCATGTCAGACAGGTCGATTGGAGAACGATGAGACTAAAAGCAACTACTCAAGGTCTGAGGGCAAAGTTAGACTTATGATTGTAGAGGAATGGGGCAGCAGTAAGGTGTTTCTCGCGGAAAACCAGCATCTGCATCGATGCTGCCTTCTATCAAGAAAGCAAGGGGTTGGAAAACCCTAACCATAAAAATTTCACACCGCACTTTAGCACATGGATTACCGTTACCGGGGGTAAGGCCTTTTAAACAAGAACGGATCTAACACCCGAAAAACTTCTCAATAAAAGGTGATGCGTTACCAGCCTCAAGAAGATGTCCAGTGAGCTCTGGGGTCAGGCTCCCAGGTCGTTAAGACCAATTGTAATCTACCTTCCTTTTGAAGTTCCTCAAGAAATTCTCTTACATGGTGTGGGCAGCTGGGAATTGACATCCGCCTTCATACCGTAACAGCACACGAGTCCAAATAAGTTACAATCGAATCCTTCCTACACCTCCTAACGTTTCCCTTATCCCCACGACTAATACTCCTTAAACTTTTTTATCACCCTGTACAGCTAATATAAACGATGTGAGTTCACGAAACGTTCTTCCTGGTTTTCCGAAACCTCGTTCTAAATTACATGTTGGAGCGTTTAATTTCCGGACATTGTGTCACATGGGGCAACAGGCTTCATTAGCTAAGACTTTAGAATCTCGCGTCACCGATGTATGCTGCATCTCCGAAACGCACACATTGGATCCGAGTAGCGTTATTCATTGGGCGTCCTTATGTCAAGATAAAGAAGCAACTCGATTTACTATTCGTGTATCTGGAATCCCTTCTGCTGCTTCCCGGGGTCTCGCTGGCATAGGTATAGCACTAAGTCCTAGGGCGGAACTAGCTCTCCTAAACTGGACTCCAGGAGATAGTCGCTTGTGCGCGGTCTGACTGAAGGAGACAGTAAGGACTCGGAAAGAT